AGGAATGCTATATTTTTCCTTGAAATGCCTTTCTTGGGGCGCCCACCTTGTATTCTACAAGGGGAGGCGTCACCAAAGTGGGTCCTTGACCCCCGAGTTACAACAACAACAACAGCTCCCGCCTGATACTTCCTCAAAATGTATTCCCAACTCGCGCTTTTGCGAGGGACGACCTCGCAATTTCTGCAGAAATCGCACACTCGCGGTGGACTTCCTCGCCATTGATTCAGACCCCGCGCCCTCGCTACTCAGGACTCACGCTCTCGCTTCGGGCTACCTTAGGACGAGAAGAATATATTGACGCAGCTTGGTATTGATTAGTTTTGGGGAATCCGGGATTTCTAACAGCCTTTGAGCGGGGTGCACTTTGCGTCGAATATGGTCCACTCTGCATGGCGCCTGGGCGGTCACCCACTCGCAATCGAGTAGTCGCCCGTCGGGGCTTTTTGGCACTTGCTGATCCCCCTTCTCGTTGCCGAGCGTGGGGGGGGGGGGACGGTGGCGCACCACCCCGTCTCCCGCCGCCGCGCACTGCGCGCCTCGGCGGAGTTCCAAAGACCTGGTCAGGCAAATCACCCGCGACTCTGGAAAACTCCCCGAGGGTATATCAAAAATCCAGGAACGTTTCTGGAAATGTCTGGCCTACACTTTTTTCAACCTTGGAATCGATGTTGAAAAATGCCGGAATCGATCTGGACAAATTCTGGAATCAATTTTGAAAATTTCCACATTTCAGAATTCTTCAGATGTCCTGCGCGGCGGGCGCAGTCCACCCCTAAAAATAGTTTCTTGAAAATTTCCGGACTCGTTTTTGAAAAATTCCGGACCTTTGCAAAAAACGGGCCGCGCTTTTTTGAAACATTCTACAATCCGGACATACTTTCCGGGCGGCCTGACGGGCGCAACATGCTGATTCACGCACCGCGCCGCGTGCGATTGGGTGCAGCGCACGCCGCGCCGTGCGCCCGCAAACAGCACTCGAATGGGTTGCCTCGAAAATCGCGCCACGGCAGCTGCGACTCGCGGACTCCCCAAAAACAAAAAAGAATGCAGCTTTGAATCTCCGAGGGCGCTCCGATGCGCGAAGCTGCACCGAGCACATCACGCAAAAAACCTGCGCGACGGAATGCGCTCGACCATTCGTCCCTGGAACCTGCGCGGAAGGACTGGAAAACCTGGAACCCTTGACCACTATCAATATCAATACTTCATGCTCCTGTGATATCTTGCGAATTACTTGGAAATCGCGCTATCGCCCGAGATTCGCGATTCATGTAGGACGCACGCTTCAACAACCCGCCTGCTCGACCTGGTCGCCTGGGCCCGCCTTCCCGACCCGCCTGTTCGGGTCTACCCGGCCGATCTGCCCGTCTGGTTATGCCACCTGTTTTCTGCTCCTCGCCCCCCTCCTGCTACTTTCTCCCTATCGTGCTCCATCCTCCTCCCTCGCCCTGTCCCTTCCTTTTATCCGTCCTCTCTTCCCCTGCCGTAGGGGCAGCATGAAATACATGTCGCAGGTGAGAAAGATAGACCCTGAATGGGGGTACGATCGAAAACGAAGGGGGCGGGTATCGACGGTTTGGGATAGACGTGTTGAAAGGCACATTCGCAGATAAGAGCGAACAGTATTAAAATGAGTGTTGTTGTTAGTGGTGGTGGTGTTGGTGATGGTGTTGGTGTTGTTGTTGTGGCTTGTTGTTTGTTTTCGTCGCCCCCCCCGCTACCCGGCCCGCGACCCAGCCGCGACACACCCGCGACCAAGCCCGTGACCCACCCGCGACCCACACCCGACCCGCCCGCGACCCACCCGCGACACGGCCCCGCGACCAACCCGCGACCCGCCCGCGACCCACCCCGCGACCCAGCCACATTGCTTCAGCGAAAACAAAAAAACGGCGCCTGCGGCGAGCTCGCTGCAGGATTTCTTAAGCAAACAAGAAAGAGTGGGCGAGTACGGCGGGCTTCTTCAGAGCCTCACAGACTGCCGACGTTCCGCCGCCCCCTCACTCTTTTTCGCAACTGCGGGGGGCTACGGTGTATATATATATATATACAGAGAGAGAGAGAGAGAGAGAGAAACAAATCCATGTGTAAATAGATGTAATATGATAAGGTGTGTATGTGTGTGTCGTTGCAGAGCAGACGGGCCAACCGCAGCAGCAACTGGGTCGGCAGCATCAGCCTCCTTCCCCCTGCAGCAGCAGCCGAAGCAGATGACCTGTGAAGAGGGAGTGAATGTCGCCCAGTTTGTGGTGGGCATCGATGAGGCAGGCAAGGCAGACAAAGACGTCACGATGCAGGATGGATACAAGAGGTTCCAGAGTAAAGCGGCGTCGGAATGCCAAGCCATGCGAACCGTCCTTCATATTCACACTCCCTAAGAGGCCTTTCTCGAAGAAGAACCACAAAAGGGGCTCCCAAGTTCACGCGGGGGGCAGAGGTGTCAAGCCGCGTACCTCTGCTCAGCCAGCTCGCTGAATACGCCACGGACGACGAGGAAGAGGAGGAAGCTGCCCGCGCTCTTGGCACTTGCGGAGGGGCTTCTGCACCCGCAGGGAGCTACGCACAGAGCGAAGGATTGCAAAAAAAAACCGAAAGATTGCAAAAAAACCCTTCGACTAAGGATTGCAAAAGGTTTTTTTTGCAATCCTTCGACTCAGTGTGATAAGGGTGACAGCGCCGAAACAGCTGTCCCCTTTAGCCCCAGCCGCCCCTCTCGCTCCTGAGAATCCAGCCCCGGCAGCCCCGCCTGCCCACGGGGACCACGCCCCTGCTCATGCGGCCCCTGCAGGGGCCGATGGAGGGGGGCAGGACCTTTAGCATCTTCGATGGAGACCGCATCCCCCGAAGAGGGAAGCGGTGGGAAATTTGGAAGACCAGTGCCCATGCATCCGGAAAGGATGCTCAGCGTGACACGTTCTCGAAGGACGTTATCTCTTCTTCTAAGCTTCTGGAGGACGCTGCATTTGCGTGTTCCCAGCAAACTAAATTGAAACTGACATACTGGATGCCGAACAGGTAGAAGAGCACACTCAGTTATTAGTCTTCTGGCCGGCTATGCTTATCGAGGCCAAGGCGAGATGAGTATAGGTCAATAGGTAATGTCTTTGGCAGTCCCTGGCTCTTTCCAACACCACTTCCTGCCTCTCAGGATTGAAGTCGACGGGGTGATTCCTCATTTTCGGTAGCTGCGCTTTCGAGCAAGACTGCGGGTATGTCTACTGATACCTGTACCCCTCCTCCCCCGCCCCCTCCTTCCGTCCCCTACCCCCTTGAGGACGGGCACCGCTGGAGGTGGTTGCCAGACTCGAATTGGCTACGCGGGCGTTGTCTAGCCAAGCGTGTTCATCGGCAAGCTCCGCATGTGGAGCTGAAGTGCCCAGGGTGTAATCCAATGATGACTACTCCAGATTTCATCATAAAAGGGAGGGGGTCTCATTTCGGGGGGGGGGTCTCTTCCAGGCTATCTTGGAGGGCCTGGGGGGGTCTGGGGACGATGTTTTGGAGGGTTCTCCCACAGGGGGGGTCAGAAATGGCTCGTCTTGGAGGGTCCAGACCCCCTCCCTTTTATTACGACATCTGGAGTAGTCTGATTCAGGACTCGCGAGGCCACAAGTAGTACGTAGTAACTGAAGACGCCGTTGATGGCGCCGGGGGGTCCCGAATGATCTGCTCCAAGCGTGGGCAGCTCCAGGAGGGTCAGCGGGCCAAAGGATTGCTCACGCCATGTAGGGCACGGCTCGAGAGCGCCCACGCTGATTCTGCTCCCCACCCCTCCCCCTCCTCCACTACCCCCTCCTGCTTCTCCTCCTCCCCCTCCTCCTCCTCCTCCTCCTCCTCCTCTTCCTCCTCCTCCGTCTCCTCCCCCTGCTCCCTCCTCCTCCTCCGCACCCCAAGCTTGTGGGTCTGGCTTTCGGGCCGCAAGTCGGGCCTCTGGCGGCTGTCCAGGGCGACCCCGGCACCCCCAGAACGCTCTCGGCGAGGCGCAGCTGCCGGAACGCAGCCCGAGGCGGACAGACCTCCGGGAACCTACGAAGACACGCCCGAAGTCCCCGTCACGCGCCCTCCGCCGCCTCTCCCTGCTCCTCCGGAGGCCTGACCCTTTTCTATCCGACCAGCTCTTCATCCCGAGTCTCGGGCGGGTGGTAATGGGATGTGGCCTACAGGGGGTGGGGAGGAAAGGGCCCTGAAGGGGCCCTTTCGGGCCCTTGTGGGCCCCCCTTTTCTTCACCCCCCATGTCCAGTAGGGGCCCGACCACAAGAAACCTCCCACAAAAAAACCCAACCCTGAAACCCTAGGGCGTCCATTGATTTTGGGTGTGGGAACGTCACGCCCTCCATGGCAAAACCATCGACACCCAAGAAACCCAGGGCACCCTGGAGGCAAGCAGAGTGTCTCTTAGCCTGTGCTTCCGCTGTAGAACACCGCCCAACACCACCCGCCCGAGAGTCGTTTCCGGCCTGCCGCGGGGCCGGGTGAGGGCCCCCAGGGGCCGACCACTGCCGAAAAGCGCCCGGCGGAGCGGCCCCCTCCGCGCCCTCGCCCTCGCGCGCCGCCGTCTCCTTTGAGGCGGCGCCCACGAGCGGGTTGGCGCAAGAGGGGGGGGGGCATCTAGGGTCAGGTCGGGCATGTCCTCCTACAGGCGGACTTTGGGCGAGAAATGAAAGGTAGCCCAACAAAAATTCCCCCAAATGATCAAACCTAGTCCGAACATCGTCCCCCGACTATTTGTTCAACTATGTTTGAAGATTCCCCCAGCAGAGGGACACGCCCGACTGAAATCCAAGGAGGCGGCGGGGCCTCAGCAGACGGGGGCCTTCTTGGCAGGCCCCAGAAGCTCCTCAGACGGCCTCTGAAACGTCGGGGGGCTTCCTCGGAGCACACCCCGTCGTCCCAGAAGCCCCGCCGCCTCCTCAGAAGCCTCCCTTGCTGCTCCCCCTTGCCCCCCTTGCCCCCCGCCCCCCCAATCGCCCCTCGCCCTCCTCCGCGCGCCGATGGCCTGCGGATTCTGCCGCACGGCCGCGAGCGCCACCTCCGCGTCGCACCGCAGCTCGTCGGCGGCGAACCGCAGGGCGAGCCCGTCCCGCCGCACGGCCTCGAGCACGAGCGCGCGGTCCTGGGGCCGCGCCCCCTCCCCCGAGGAGGGCGGGAGGCGGGGCCGCGCCGGGGGCGGGGCCGAGGCCGCGGCCCGAGCAGGGGCTGGGGCTGGTGCGGCCGTCCCCGCCCCGGCCCCTGCTCGGTGCTCGGGCGTGTCTTCCTCTACAGGAGGAGCGTTCAAACGAATAGTTTTTACAACAAATAATGTGGGGACGAGTGTTCTACCATCTGTTTTTTGACTGCTTGTGATTTTTTGGGGGGGATCTGGTTGATTGTTCGCCAGAATCCGCCTCTGTAGGGGGACCTGCCCGACCTAAGAGCTGCTCGGGCCCCGGCCCTGGCTCCTGCCCCTGGGGGCAGGGCCGGGGCCGGGGCTGGGGCTGGGACCGGAGCTGGCGCCCTGGTCTAGAGCTGGGGCCGTGGCAGGGGACCGGAGAGCCAGGGCGAAAGATGCAGGGAAACGAACTCTATTAACCGACGCTTTTCCGAACCCTGCGCAGAAATTCGCACAGGAACGCGGATTTGGGTGTATACGGGATCCTGGTGTATACATGTTTCGTGTTTCCCTTGGAAAACGGGGGAGAAGTATACACCACACCACCTCGACGTCGTCCCCGACCCTCACAAAGTCGCGGGATTGAAAAAACAACCCGCCACTGGTAATGTATATGTTCCAGTTTCCGAACATCGGGGCGGGGCTCCTGCTCAGAGCAAGGCGATCGCTGAGGCAACGGCGGCCCAAGCTCAGCACTCGGACCCGCCCAGTCCCGGGGTCCAAGCGCATCAGTTTTCCGAGCTGGGCCCCGCCGCGGCGGCGAAGGGGCCCCCCAAAGGCCGGCCGCGGTCGTCTCCGCGCGCCCTCCGCCGTGGAAGCTGCGGCGGCTTTCCCGCCTGGTCCACGGTCGCCCCGAGTCGGTCCCCAGAGCCCTCCCGTAGAGGCATCCTGGATGGGGTCGGAGTAGATGGGGTCGGTGGATCGCGCTGCATCGGCGATACATCGGCGATGCATCAGCGATGCATCGGCGATGCACCGGCGATGCACCGACGATGCATCGCCGATGCATCGCTGATGCATCGCCGATGTATCGCCGATGCAGCGCGATCCACCGACCCCATCTACTCCGACCCCATCTAGGAGGCCTAGATCCCGTGGCCCAGGCCGGCCCGTCTTCCGGTGCGGAGCCACCCGTGGCGAGGGCAGGCCTCCAGGCGGCCGGCGCCAGTCACGAGCGAGGCGTGAGGCTCGGGCGCTCGGCGGGCTCGGGTGGGCCTCGCGAGGCCAGCACAAGAACGACGAGGCCCCGTCCGAACCTCGACGCGAGCTCCCGCTGCAAACGCACGCGAAAACTGGGCCGTCCGACTCCAGGACGGGTTCGTCGAGAAGCAGCGGCAAACCTGAGAGCCAGCGAACTCGAGCCTTGCGTCTCCCCGAGCGCAAGGCCGCCGTCGTCTCGCCTGGCCCTCTCCCGACAGTCGGAGGCGACGATGAGGGCGAACAGCTCAGAGGCGGGTGTTACACGCATTCGTCGGGAAGCCTCCCCGAAGACATGGGCCACGGGCGCACCTGGATACACGTATGGCTCCCCCTGGGCTAATCGCCCCGATCGTCGCCTCCGAGACCGACTCTGCGGGCCTACACGCAGGCGGGCACCGCGCCACCTGGCGCTCTGCGGGCCCTCCCCACCACCTTGCCTGCGGACTACCGCTTGCGCCCCGCACTTGCTCTGGCCGTCATCGTTGCAAAGGCCTTGCGCTGCAAGAGCATTGCAGTGTGTTGCCATCGCTTTGCGTTGCATTGCGCTGCATTGCTTTGAATTGTGTTGAGGTGCTCAGCGCCACATAGCTTGCACCACACAGGCTCACACAGCATAGCACGCACCATATAGACAATGGCGCCACATTGCTTGCACCGCGTAACTTACGCCACGTCGACTGCACCACGAGGATTGCAACGCATACTGTACATCCCACAACTTGCGCCACATAGGGTAAATCACTCAGCATAAGGTTATGTGGAGGTTGTGTGTGTACGTGTGGTGGTGGTGGTGGTGGTGGTGGTGGTGGTGGTGATGGTGGTGGTGGTGGGGAACGCGGGGGTAGGAGAAGAGGGTGGGAAAGGTGGGAGGCGTGTGTGCGTGTGTGTGTGTGTGTGCATGAGTGGGTGGGGTAAGGTGGGTGGCCTAGCGCGCATGGGGCTAAATCATGCAATGAGGTTGCGCGGCGCGGGACGGAGTGAGGTAAAGTGGGGGATGGGAATGCAGGTGGTTTCTGTGTGTGTGTGTCTATGTGTGTGTGTGTGTTTGTGTGTATGTGTGTGGTTGTGTGTGCGTGTGTGTGTTTGTGTTTGTTTGTAGATGCGCGTGCGTGCGTGCGTGCGTGCGTGCGTGCGTGTGGTGCAGTTGAGGCGAAGAGAATGCTGGTGGTGGTAAGTGAACCGAGGGCAAGATGAGAGGTCGGACGGAGGACAGAAGGGAATGGAGGGTGGAAGGAGAGGGGATGAAAAGAGCGGAGGGGAGGGGGGGAAAAGGAGAAGAGGGCGAAGGGGAAACAGGTCACATCCGGAGAACCCCCGATCGGCGGCACTGGCAGAAGGCCATTACAGCGCGCGCATGCGACAAATGAGATGCCCTCGCCTCGTTGACCGTTCGGGGGTTTGCCGAGGTTTCGCCACGTTGCCCGTTGCCGCCCCGTTGCCCCGTGGGGGTCCGCCGAGGTTTCGCCGCGTGGCCGCCCGTTGCCGCTTCGCTGCTCCAGCCCGTTGCCGCGTCGTTGACGCTTGCGGGGGCCCGCCGAGGTTTCGCTGCGTCGCCGCCCGTTGCCTGGCGTGTATGCCGAGGTCCCGCCGCGTTCCAGCCTCGTTGCCGCCTTGGGGGGGTCCGCCGAGGACTCGACACGCTGCCGCCCGTTGCCGCCTCGCTGCCTCGTCGTTGCCGCCTCGTGCGCCGCGTGGGTGTGCCGAGGATTCGGCACGTTGCCGCCCGATGCACGCCCGTCGCCCATCTTACAACAGATGGCTTGCACTTCGAAAGTGCAGCACATCATTTTTTGGGTGCACGCCGGCAGACATTCCAACACATGCTGTGCATCAACTAGGTGCGCGTGCCCACCAGGCGCTTCTAACTCATCGGACTCTTCAAACGCTTAGCGCACGTGCTAGACCGCCCGACTCCTCCAACGCCTCTGAATCGCCTCACTCGTCTGCCTCTTCTGCGCCGACGGGGCAATAATTTTACCCACTCTTCCCTGGGCCGAAAACACGGATCGGTGAAAGAAATCCCGACGTGGAAGGGGGGCTATGCGACAAGTTCTTCCACTGGGATAGAATTGTCGTACTACTGCCATTGAGGTGGAATAGTTATCTGGTCCCATCCTTGACGAAATCATCGCTTCTTCCAAACACAAGCAACGCGCTGCCGATCGGCCAACCCAAGCGGATTCAAACTGTCGTCCTGTCGGAGCTGCCAATGGTTGTTTCGCACGAGACACCTTCTCAATGAGAGCGTGACCAAACGAGGATCGAACGTCATGTAGCCTCAATTCACTCTGCTCACTCCTGAGTGTCGATCGCGCGCATGTGGCGGAGCGACGCCGCATGCGCGCTCCCCAACTACAGCGAAACCGCATGGAAGAAAACTCCGCAATGCCGCCGGTCCCAAATGCAGTAAGACATGTGATGTCAGAGATTCTTTTAGTTTGGGCATGGGCCGAAGCATGGCCAGGAGCACTGGACCCCCACACTTCACCGCGCTTTTCTGCTCAAAATGTGGGGGGCGGGGTCGACCCCCCCCGCCAAAGGGTGGCGCAGGTGAGCTCAGCGCATTGCTTAACCAAACCTGCCACACCAGGCGTCTGCGTTGATGGCTGCGAATCCGACGATGTAGCCGCATCTCCCCGCTGTCTCCGCTTCCAACTCCCCACTAGTCTCCACGAGCCTCCATCCGCCCGCGCTCCGCAGCGGGGACTTCGGGACGGCGGCGACGGCTGCAGAGGCGACCCCAACGACGGGCGGCCGACGGGACAATGGTTTGATTCACTCTTGCTTGGGCCCACGAGGGCGGATCGGAGAAAGACATTCCAATGTGGAGAGAGGAATCGCCTTCCCCTGCGCATTCCTGCACAAGAACAGCGTGTATTGCTGGAGCGGCTCGTGGAAGGACCAAACTATTCCACCTTCATGAGACTGTAACACGTTGTTACTGCGGTGGAGAAGTTCTCCGGACCTGCTTTTGTTGAGGCCTCCTAGATGGGGTCCGAGTAGATGGGGTCGGAGGATCGCGCCAAACCGCCGATGCATCGGCAATGTATGCGCGAGGCTGATGATGCATCGGCGCCGTCGGTGTGGAGAAGACCGGGCTCCACATCGGTGATGCATCGGCGATGCGGCGCGATCCTCCGACTCCATCTGCTTGGACCCTACCTGGGAGGCCTAGATTTCTACGATGCGCAACCGCTCAGCCGACCCACACGGGTTAACACCTCCACGCGGGCGGCCTCGACGACGAGGATCGACCTCCTCCTCCTCCTCCTCCTCCTCCTCGCGGCATCACAGCGTCTTATAACCTTGCACGCGCTGGCAGCGGCCGGGAGCGGCCATCACAGGCTTGCTCCCCCTGCAGTTTGGGTCAAGGGCTGCGGCCCGCAGGCCGGAGGGTGCTCATAGAGGCATCCTAGATGCTAGATGGGGTCTGAGTAGATGGGGTCCGAGGATCTCGCCGCATCGCCGATGCATCGGCGATGCACGGCGACGTCGGCGATGCATCGGCGACGTCGGCGTGGAGAGAAGTTGGCCCCACAACGAGCCGCATCGGCGATGCATGCACCGCTGAGGCGGCACGATCCTCCGACCCCGTCTACCCTGACCCCATCTGGGAAGCCTAGACTTGAAGCACGGTGGGACTGCGCCAGCAGCGCTGGGGACCCTCGCCGAAGGCACGGGCGCTCGGGGCCTCTGCTCTTGGGCTGTCCGCCCCTGCTGCCACCGCCAAGGGGGACGGACAGGGTTTGTGGGCCCTGGAAACGGCAGGGCCGTTTTTTCACCGTTTCCCAAAAAAGTCCCTTGAACATGGAAACGGCAAAAAAAACGGCGACCGGAAACGGCAAAAAAACGGCTCCAGGATTGGACCCGGAGCCGGAAGCGGTCAAACAACGGCGACGGAACCGGTAAAAAAAACGGCGTCGGAAACGGCGACAAAAACGGCAGAACGGAACTGGTACAAAAAACGGCCCTGTCGTTTCCAGGGCCCACTAAGGGGCCTCTGCTCTTGGGCTGTCCGCCCCTGCTGCCGCCGCCAAGGGGGGACGGGCGAAAGGGGGGGATAGCAAAGGGGGGGGTCCCCCCGGGGGGGTTGAGAATCAGCTCACGCACCTGATTTTCCCGGCGCCTTCCGGCGCCGGAGGCGCCCATGTATCCAGGAATGGGCGCCTCGGTGAGGCCGAAACCAGCTGCATGCAGCAGATTGCGTAACCCCCCCTTTCCCCATCCCCCCCGTTTCGTCCGGCCCGAAAGGGGGACGGGCAGGGGCGAGCGGTCCTCGGCAATGCCGGCGAACTCGCCCCAGCGGCCGAGGACAAACTCCGGGGCGTGCTCCAGCCGCAGCGGGTCGGGGCCGGCTGCGCCCGCGGAGGCGGCAGGGGCCGCCATCCTGCCCCGCGGCGGCCCCGCGGCTGCACCGTGTCGGCCGCGGTGCCTGGAGGGAGAGGGGGGGAGGGGGGGGTGGAGGGCGGGGGAGAGAGGGGGAGAGGGAGGGGGCGAAGGGGTGGGGTGGGAGGGGGGGCGAGGGCGGAGGGGCGGGGGCGGGGAGGGGTGGAGGGGGGGTGGCGAGAGGGGGGGAGGGAGGGGGCGAAGGGGTGGGGTGGAGGGGGGGGCGAGGGCAGAGGGGGCGGGGCGGGGAGAGGGGGGGGGGGATAAAGGGCGGAGGAGGAAGAGGCGCGGATGGTGAGGAGGAACAGGGTTGGGAGGAGGAACAGGGTTGGGGGAGGAGGAGGAGGAGGAGGAGGAGGAGGAGGAGGAGGAGGAGGAGGAGGAGGAATAGTAATAGGAAGAGGAGGAATAGGAGGGGGAAGAGGAGGAGGAGGAGGAGGAGGAGGAGGAGGAGGAGGAGGAGGAGGAGGAGGAGGAGGAGGAGGAGGAGGAGAATGTTGGAGTAAACCCTCCCTCCAAGATCCCTCTCCATAGCCCCCTACAACGGTTCATTTCCACTGAGGGAACTGCCTCGTTGGAAGACGACTGTTTGAAGACCCTGAAGCATGTCAAAACATTGTTCTCTGGACTCCAACGCCACGGATTAACCTTACTGTTGCGTCTTGACGGTCCTGAATTGCGCCAGAGAGCCATTCCTGGGACTTCAACACCACGAGCCAGCGTACGTAACTGTTGCATCCTCATAACCCGGAGTCCTTCCACAACGCCATTCCTGGTACGTTGATCATGGGAACCCGTGAAACTCTTGCAACTGTTAAGAACGAATGTGCGCGACGCTACAGCGAAAGCCACATTTTGAAAACCACCCGCCCTCTATTTGTGAAGCTGCCGCGTCATGGATGGTGAGGAAGTCTCAAGCGAAACGCCCGGCCCGCACTAAAAACTGGCCCCGGGGGGCGACAGGGAACAAAAAGGAATGGAGGAGGAGGACCCATATATAACCCAAGACTCATCAACCTTTTCCACTGGAAAAAATGCCCCATTAGGAGACGGCCGTTTGAAAATCTTGAAGCGTGCCAACAATTCCATCTTCATCACGTCGACACCACGAATGCACTTCACTGTCGCGTCTTGACGATCCTGAATCGTGCCGGAACACCGTTCCTGGGACTTCAACACCGCGAATTAATGTAGCTGTTGCGCCCTGACAATCCTGCAAAGCACCACTTCTGGTACGCTGACCATGAGAATCCGTGAAGCCCTGGCAAGTCGTTAAAGCGAGTGTGCGCGTCCTTAAGACACGGGCCACATGTTGATAAGGAACCGACCTTAAACTGTGAAGCTCGTGCAACATTTCAAAACGAATGTGCGCGGCGCTTGAACGAGAACCACGTTTTGAAAACGACCCGCCCTCAACCCGTGATGCTAGTGCATTTTTGACTGTAATGAAGAAACACGGCGCTCAATAGATAACCGCGTTTTGAAAAGGAACCGCCATCAATCCATGAAACTCGTGCAATTTCTTGAGACGAGTGCGCGCGGCGCTAAGGCGCGAACTACAATTTGAAAACCACCCGCCCTCCATCCATGCAGCTCGTACACATGAAAAAACATATGTGCGCGGCGCTGCGGCAGCAGTCACCGTTTGGAAGCGGCCCGCCCTCCATGTGTGAAATTGTTGCTCCTCGGGGCGCAGGGAGGAGCTTATTACAAGGAAGCGGAATGGAGGAGGAAAAGGAGAAGGGGGAAGGATGAGGAGGGAGGGCGGAGGAGGGTCACAATAAAATCCATATGTATCGCCGATGCTGCATCACAGCCTCCATCCCAAGTCCCCTCCTCACATGTCCCTGCAAACTTCCTTTTCCATCATCGGAGGTGCCCCTTTGAAAGACCAGCGCAGCTGGGCCTGCCAGGTTGGCGAAGGCCCCGCTTGGCGGAGGAACTGCCTCGCACGCTTCCTGAGCATGATCGAGAACGCGGAGACCACGATCATACAATCCAACGGCGGCTCAACCGATGCACCCCTTTCGAACCAAAAGGACCGCCCCCGTTCTTGCTACTGTGGAAAACACGGACTCGTGTGGTCATTTGAAAGCAGGAGGAGGAGGAGGAGGCGGAGGAGGAGGAGGCGGCGGAGGCGGAGGAGGAGGAGGAGGACGAGGCAGTCGGAAGCGAGCGCCCCAAGTTGAGAGCACGTCGTACCGGATCCTTGCACCGCTGCGTGTGCTGAAGCTTCGGGTCTGGGACGACCCACCTGCCACATGTTGGAAACCACCACCCTCCACCCTCGAAGCGCATGCGCAATATTAGCACGAAGGCGCGCCGCTGTGGGGTGGTCGCCTCTGGTTTCAAGAGCCAGCGGTGCTCGACCCTCGAGGCTGCTGCGGGCAGTGAAAACGGAGCGCGCGCGGCGTCAACGCGAGAGCCACATTTTGAACAACACACCTCCTGTTCAAGCTGTTGCCACTGTTTGAACAAGAAGACATGCGCGCGTCGCGCAGGCGATCGCCACAGCTTGACATCACCTCCCTCGATCGTTGAAGCTGCTGCTACATTTTACAACGCATGAGCTCGGCGCCATTTTATCGACAATCCATCCTTGAAGCTGTAACGAGCTTTCACGACGAATGTGCGAGGCGCTAAGGCGAGAAACACAATTTGAAAAGAGGAGGAGGAGGAGGAGGAGGAGGAGGAGGAGGAGGAGGAGGAGGAGGAGGAGGAGGAGGAGGGAGGAGGAGGAGGAGGAGGAGGAGAGGAGGAGGAGGAGGAGGAGGAGGAGGAGGAGGAGGAGGAGGAAGGGGAGGGTGATGAGAAGGTGGAGACAGAGGACGATTCGACATGACCTGAAGGCGGGCTCCTGATGACCACGCTGGGCGCAGAACGCCAACCGTGCAGCGCCACTCACTCGCACATCTTCTGCTCATGGGAGGTGCGCCGAGGTCGGCACACTTGTCATTTGCTTTGTGATGGGCGTGGAAGGCGATGACCATGGTTTCAACATCTTGTGCCCTGGGCGCCTCGTAGCATTACATGTAATACTCTCCTCATCTCGGCCAAGACTGATCCAGAGCCATGGGTCCGATGGGGAACCGAGGCGCATTGAGCTGAGGACGACATGTGACGGTGTCGAAAGCAACAGAAGTCGAGCTGGATCGCATCGGGGCCCCCGCACCCGAATAGACTGCCCTTCAAGAGGGGGAGAAGCATGCATGCGTGAGCTGGTCGTGCATCCTCCTGCCAAGGACTTGAACGCGACCCGTCCTCGAGCGGGGCGGACTTTCGCGAGGGCCACCTGGAAGAGGGACCAGCGAAGTGCAATGTCGGGTTGGCAGGAGGCGGGGAGGGGCGGCGGAACGAGAAACAGAATTAGACGATGGCCTGATTCGCTGGCTGCCCACCGTGGGCGCTGAGAGAGGGGGCGGTAGGCAACGTCGGCGTTTTGCAATGGCGTGTCGTAAGCAGTGTCCGAACTGGGGACGGCGTGTGAGGCCATTCTCCATGCCGATGCTATGCCGAGCGCGGTGACTGATCGAGGAGCCGAACCTAACCACCGGGAGGAGGATGGATCCGTTAGCAAAGGCGTTCGGGGGCAATATCAACAGCTTATACACACCCAAGGCTTGCTCAGGAAGAGCGATGGGCGCACGGGGCAGAACTGGGCAAGATAACTCAACGTGCTGACGGCATACGTGCTATACTGGTACCCGAGAAGAGCCGACGCTGCACGTGAAGTCGGCAGCTCAATCGTGCGCTGCCACCACATCTGCGAAGCAGCATGCCACTGGGGTGCGATATCACCCTTCGGCCCAAACTGGACCCTAGTATGCACCGCCGATCCCCGAATATGGAACTCGTGGCGTTCTGGAATTTCAAGGCCAAGCCATGCTCGGATACTACTGGTGACTAGGGATGGCGCGCAGTCAGCCCCAAGAGGGACGATGCAACACGTAGCATTTTGAAACGGCAGGAGCGCATGCCGTGCACGATTACGGAAGTGAAGGGCAACCTTTTTCAAAGTTCGCGGCTGCGGCAGGAAAGCGCCTGCGTCGTCAGCGCAAATGAGGAAGGAGAAGAGGAAGAGAAGCAGGAGGAAGACCAATGTAAACCCAAGACGCATTAACGATGTTACACTAATAAACTCTCCCTCCAACTTGCCTCGTCATAGTTCCCCACAAGAATCAAGGAGGGAAGTGGCAAATTAGAAGACAACCGTCTGAGAATCTTCAGTTGTGCCCATAAGGACAAATCATCCTGGAAACTCTTGAGCCGCGGCTCAACTTGACCGTTGCGTCGTGACGCTCTCAAATCGAGCCAGAGCACCAGTCCAAGGACTTCGGCACAACGAACCAGCGTAGCTGTCGCGCCCTCACAATCCTAAGTTGCGCCTTAACGCGGTTCCTGGGATTTTAACCATACGAACCCTTGACATTGCTGCATGCGTTTGAGACGGATGCGCATGGCGCTAATGCGAGAGCCACATGTTGAAAAGAAGCCGCCCCCTATCCTTCAACAGGTTGCAAACTTCAAGACGAACCACAGCGAGCACCACTAGACTTTAAGAGTTCCTATACGCGCGGCACTACAGCGAGCACCACACTTTGAAAACCAGCAACCCTCCAGCCTCGAAGCTATTGCAAACTTTGAAAGCGAATGCGCGCGGCGCTGAGCCGAGAACCACAACTTGAAAACCAGCTGTTCTCCATCCTTCCAAATATTGGAAGCCTTTCAGACGAATGTGCGCGGCGCCAGGGCGAGAGCCAAATTTTGAAGACGGTCCCCGCTCCATTCGCGAAGCTGTTGCAATCTTCAAACCTCACGATCGCAAATTGTGAGGAAGTCTCCGGCGAAACGCCCGGCCAGCCCTATCGACACGTCTGGGGGTGCGACTGCGATTAGCTATTTAACGAAGAAGGACGGTAGGAGGAAGAGGAGAAGAGGAAGGACGAGGAGGAAGGAGGAGAGAGGAGGGGGTCAGAGAGGAAGGAGGAGAGGGCGAGCTCCTGTTCGGACCCGTGAAGCCCTTTCGGGTCTGAATGGCCCCAATGCTG